ATAACCACGAAGTGAGTTCATGAAAAATTATTATGTTAGACCTTGAAAATGGATTAAACGAGCGCTAGTTTCGGTGAAATAATAATATATTAATTAATTAAATGAGACTCGAATTGAGTTGATGTGTTTGTGCCTGTATTTCACAGCGGTCAAGCCTCGGCATTATCTGTTACCGAGGGTTTAGTGGACTTTATATTTTAAACATAGAGAGATAATTCAGGTAGTTATTATTAGAGTCTCAATTGTAATTTGAGCTAGAAAAATAGAGTGGAATAATATTATTTAAGTAATCTCCTAAGAGTATTGTAGTTCTATATACATCATTAACCTCATGGAATAGATAAGAAAAGATCAGAAATCTTCTATATGTGTTGTCAACACTGAACACTCAGTGGATTGGAGTGTTGCATTCTTGCATGGTTTGCCCTGGCTTTCTCCCCTTTTTAATTTCTTTTTTTTTTTTTATTTTTTTATTTTTTTATTTTTCTAATTCACAAAACTAGTTTTGGTTTGGGCCCAATGTATAAATTGGGCTGGTTTGATAAAATTGAGCTTACTTTTGTTTTTTAAACAAGATCGGGCTGAAGCCCACCCCAATCTTTGGGGGGTGCCTCCTTCCGAACCTTCCCTGCGAGGAACTCTGGAAAAGCCCTAAAATCAAAAATTTCACGGAAGAACTTCAGAACTCATAGCTTTTTCAAATTTTATGGAGATAAAGTTTTTGTTTTTAATCCTATCACATTTGAAATAAAATAATTCATTCTCAAGTACTTATATCGAAAAAAAAAAATGTGAGACTTCTCAATTGAAGCTACATGGTGATCTAACGATTACAAACTCCGACAAAATGATTCTTTAACGAGACTCGTAAGAAAAAATGTGAGACTTCCCAATTGGGGCTACGAGAAAAGTGTCTTCTCTAAAAAAAAGGGCTGACAATTTTCTCACTTGTGGTCAGTAGCTAGTCAAATCTCACGAGAATCAATTTTTTTTTGTCTCTTTACTAAAAACTAAAATAAAATAAAAAAAAAAAGAAAAATAGAAAGAGATTACGCAAGCAAATTCAGTTGATGAGGTCCAAATTAATGTCACATTAACTTGGAAGCTCACAGACAGTCACACTGCAGCTTGAAAAAGCCTACGAACCCAGTTGACTGCTAAATTATTACCTATCAAATTGTCTTCACCAAAATTCAGTATTCACTTAAAAAGAGACATTTGTCAGTCATTTTTTTTTTATTACGTAAAGCAATTTATTTTGCCTTGTTTGGTACTGCTGATATCACTCAACCCAAAGGGGATAGGATTAGATTTTAATTACGTGTGGGAATTAACAGTTACTACCCTTTTTCTCGCCTAGTCTATTTCCGTACTCCTTTTATTTAATGCATTATACAATATACATAGGGAGATTCTAATGTGTCATATTCTATCGGGGTTTGTAATTATTAGATCAACTATCATGACAGTTTCATGATAATCTAAAGTTATATATCCCGACAGGATAATTCCGTAACGGGATTTTACATTTTCTATATATATATATATATATATATATGTGTGTGTGTCACTGAAAATTAATTTAGCCATCACTCATTCTGTTATAAAATTTGGACTTATGCAAGGATTTTGTTACTTTTTTTAAATGTGGGCGTTGGTTTAAATAGAGGAAAATGTGGCCCCATTTGGTTTTGGATGGATTAGAAAAAATGGTCAAGTTCAAATAGATTGGTTCACGACCCGCCGAGTCGACGAGCCTCAAATGTTAGGTCCAGAACCGGCCTGGCTATATCTAAGGACTGATTCATTTGAATCGGCCTGATTCAGCGATTCAACGGTTTTTATTTTTTTTAGAGCATCTTTAGTGAAGTTTTTAGAAAAAAAAAATATATCAAACGACGCAATGAGTATAATTACAAGGGTAAGGTCTGCGTACAACTGACCCCAGACCTTAACCAGTTAAGAATATATTGGGTATGTTGTTGTTGTTGTAGAGCATCTTTAGTGAGGAGGTTTTCTTCATGTTTATAAACTCCTTCCCCAACTTTTGCTATTAAATGAGTTCCACAACATGTTTGGAAATCAAAACCTCCAATAAACCTCAAACCTCATTTGTGGGCTCATTTTCTCACTTTTTACTTTTAATAAGAATAAAAAGTTGAGTTATAATTTTAAGATATTAATAAAATATAATAGTATAATAATAATTAAAAGTAAGTTGGATACATATGAGACCCATAAAAAATGGGTTTGTGGGGTTTATTGGGCAAAATTTCAAAAAATGGTCCACTATGTTGGCCATTTTCTAAAAGGTCCATCATCTACGACTTCATCAAGAAGTCAAAATTCGTACAATAACCAATATAGTGTACTAAAAGTGATCATTTTTAGTTGTCATATTTAGTACACTATGTTGACTTTTGTAAGAGTTTTGATTAAAACGACAACTTAGTGGACTATTCTTGAAGACGCCCTATATAATGGACCATTTTCAAAAAATGACCAACATAACGTACGAAAAAAGAAATTTAGCCGATTTATAGGTGTAGGTGTAAGAATGTAATTTTAGATGATATGACATGTTGGGAAGTGTAAAGGCGATGTTTATAGTGAAAAATTAAACATTGCTAAAGATGCTCTTAGAAAAATAATTACGACCCGGGACTTGCCCGGAACGGGCCGGCCTGGCTGGTCAAAAGTATTAAAACACGACTCTGAATCGGCCGTTAAGGGGTTCCAGGCCGGTTCAAAACCGACTTTAGCGGGCCGATTCACGGGCCTGTTCGACCCTTGGTCATATCTAAGTTCAAATTTGGCATGTGTTGTAGCAGTTTTCTTGCTTAGGTAGGCTGATTTTGGAGAACAAGATGTGAAAAAAAGGTTGAATTAATAATCAAAATCAAAATCCAATAGGGGGTGTCTATATGTACACCCCCTTGTGTGTAAAAAAGGGGTGTACATATAGCACTTTTCTTTGTGTAATTTATTAAAAGGGGGTGTACATATAGCATTGCCCATCCAATATTGTTCTT